ACCAGTTTCAAACCTTTGCAAGTTCTATCAAATGTCATATTTGCTAAACATAATCCTAAGCAAACTACCAAATAGTAATTTCGTCTTATTTTATTGCTTCAAAGCGTAATTTTCCAGTAATCTGTCACTGGGGAGTTAATGCGATTTATGGTTACGCCCTCAGCTATGACACCGCGCCGCACCACATTGGATTACCAACGTAATCATCGACGCGTCGCCGCCGCCCGAGGCTGTGTCAAATGGGATATGTCTACAAACGTTCAGTTTGTTTCCTGTATGTGCTATATATTCATATTTGTCATAACAACGTTAAAGTATAATAGGCCAACGTTTGATAAAATCACACCCAATATTATATAGTGATGAACATGAACACGTTAGCCTAAAAAAGAAAAGTATTAATAATATTGTGCTCCTGACCATATTTCGGTCACGGGTCACGGCGGCCAGCTCTAACGGTGACTAATAATCTGCGCAGGATAGGATCACAGTGTTAAAGTATTTGCGCAAACATATACATTGTCCATTCACTCACTCTTTTAATCCGATTGAATGGCAATCCGAAACGACCAGTGAGAAAACTGGCCACCGAATCAACGATTTTAATTACCTTGTGAGGCATTGAGATAAATTATTGCCTGTTTAATAACTTTGAGCTGCTACTGAATACTTCTTGTAAGAAAAATTCAATAAATGAATTTGGCTCTCGGACTATGATAGTGAGGAGATAGAGAGTAAAAGTTTATTTGCGCATACACTCGGGAACTATAATCTTGTCCCGTGGTCTATATGATATTAATATTACTACTATTAGGAAAACTATTATAAAAGAGTATACCTTCTTCTCCATCTGCTCGTCAGTTCTTATCCTTTTTTGGCGCCAAACAGCAGTGTATGCACGGCTGTGTTCCATCCCAAAGAGCATAGAAAGTCTGTATATTTTCAGGCTGTGAGACATTCCATCTTAGTCCTCAGAGATGATGATGCTTCTGTCATCATCTATGTTTGAAGTTGGTTGCAGCTGTACATGGGCCAAGGTAGCCGCTTACCAGCTATTAGGCTGGGCTGTAAGTTCGTTTGTCACTTCATTTTTTTTTTAAATTCTGGATGTAGACTCCGCCCGTAGTTGATGGGATTTGCGGTTATTACGCTTAGCAGGTAGCTATGCTACCATATTACCAGACATGTCGTGCCTATAATACTTGCGTGTCACTGGTTATAGCGTGCTATATTTGGTATGATAAATGTAAGATATATCCATCAATTTCAGGACACAAGTTCACCAATTGCACTTCTCTCCTCCTACGCTAGGAATGAAGTGGGATGGTGGATGGTGGGGTGGCCGCCACCGCAAATAACCTTTCTAAAATGTAGCTAAAACAATCGTATTTGCTGGAAAATTTTATTACGCAAAACAAAATCGCCGTGGTAGCTCAGATGGTTAACGCTCGCTGTAAATATAACAGAACACGAGTAACCCGAGTTCGATCCCCGCCGGCACCAATGAAATTGTTAATTGCAACTTTAAATGCTGATATACCACGTGCTCAGCGGTGAAGTAAAACATCGTGAGGAAACCTGCATGTCTGAGAAATAAGAAAAAAAATATTTCGATTACATGTGAAGTTCGCCAACACGCATTGGGATAGCGCGGCGGACACTTCCTTGCCCTAAAACCCTCTCAGAAATGAGGGGAGGCCTGTGCTAAGCAGTGGGACTTATATAGGCTGTAACTTTTTAACTTTTAAACAAAATTTAGCTTGAAGCATCAAAATGCTATTAGCACTCATAATAATTCTGTTAACCACTGTAAATAAGCCCAAAATAGTCGCGCTAGAAATGGTTCTTGATTTTTTTTCGCATTTCATAGCTTACAGTTGCAATTAAAATACACCTAGAATTTTTATATCAAAGATGGCAATTTAACTTTTTCAATTTTTCTTAAACAATTTAAAAAAAGAACTCCTCATTCTATTAATTTGTATTTTACTGGCGTCTGGCGGCGTGTAAAGAGAATAATCAAATTTTATTTTTCCGTTGCAAGAACGTGTCTCAAGTTTTTATCCAAAGTTGGTCTATATGTATGCCATATTTCATAAAAATTCGTTTTGCCAGTTTATGTGATTGAATTTAAAAGTTACAGTCTATATTTTTCCACTGTTGAATCCAGATGTCCTCAAATTTCTGAAAGGGTTATGAATCCGCGCGTTGACGGATTTTATTTGTCCTCGAAATATTTTATGCCTTAGACGTACAGGTTTCTTTAACAACCGTAAGCTCAAGAGGTCGCGACATAAACTCCCGTTTGCTCGCGATCTTAAAATGGCGGGAATTGCAAATTTTTTGCTAACTTGCAAATTTTGCTATATTTTCACTTTGAGACAATATTTATGGATAAAACTTACAGAATTCTTGTTGAATGTATAAACAATCAAATAAAATTATTTTTAGTTGCTAGAAATTGTAATAAAATTCATAAATTACCCTTTATACCATGGTAGTAGTATATATAATCCACTATTAGTGCCAAAATTACCACTAATTTGAATTCTACACTTTTGTTTTTGGAGAAATTTATATAAAAATGTTTGGAAATATGTATATTTTTATGTTTTATGTGTTTCTATCCTGTTACTCATACCAAAATATAAAAAGAAATAATATTTATCCGTATGACATTTCGAACAATATTTCAAATATATTATTGTGTGAATTTGAAATAAATACAACGTCAAGTTATTTGAAACATGTTATAAAACTATTTTTTAGTTACATTTTACACTAAAAATAAATGAGAATTGGAAAAATAACACATTATTGATCACACCGCTAAAATGGGCCTTCTCGATTTCGAAGTACTTTAGGCACTTACTTTTCACTTTTTGTGCCACAAGTTATATATCTACGTGTTTACTATATTACAAGTAATACAAGAAAGTGTAATACTTTCGTTTTTAGTCCAGACACAAATATAAAATTCTATAAAAAAAGACGGAGCACCTTCTGCAATGCGACACGTGGAACGCCGAAAGTTCAGAGTGATTTGCTTTGCCAGGTTATGGTTTAAAATGAAAGAGCATATCTTTGTCTTTTATTCTATTATTCATTGCATATTGTAGTCTTTGGTTTTGTTTAACAAAAAAATATTTTTTCATAGGGCAGTATTTGGTATCAAATTTGATACTGTCCTGAGCCAGCGGTTTTTTTTTAATTTTATGATATCAAATAAGAGTATATTACAACGGGAATTGCAACTAAAAATTTAATGGGTGCCGGCGGGGTATGGAAATAGTACTACTAATATGAAATTTATGACGACGAGTACTAAGTTTGTGAGCTACTACGGCTTGCCCAAAACACATTTAAATATTGTAATAAACCTTTGCATATATTAAAGTTTAATGGCAGTTTAAGAATATGCACTACCTCATATCGTTCCTTTGGTGTTCCTTTGGTGAGAGGTGACAGAAGGAAACAATCCAGGAGACGGGTAAATGCCTCTTCCTTATTAAGAACAAAAGAAAGAAAGAAAGGAATATATAACTTGACATGTGTCTTTTACTTATTTAAATAATAATAGTTTTTACGGCTTTTTTCGCGTATGCGTCGCTGACGTTTCGAGCAATTTACAATACCCATGGTTACGGGGGAGACTGAGATGTTCAACGTCTAGATTTCATAGTTAACCGCTGTTACCATAGATTAAAATTATTGATTTTTGTTCCGATCTATGCAGTACAAACTATAGTATCTTGAAGTCTTGCAGTTGTATGCTTAGGTTGAGATTTAATTTTATTAATAATAGGATCCCATGCAGATGGTAGCACCCAACCATCTTCTCTATTGAAATTAAGATGTTTTCTTGATTTCAATAGCCTCGCGAATCATCCTTAGAAGGAATCGGTGATCTTTAGCGAGGATTTGTGGTCTATCAAATTTAATGTAGTGACGGGGGCGATTCTGTACGTATTCACAGACTACAGACTTCCCGGAGCATCGATGAACACAGTCAGAATCAAGATACAAGTACTACAAGTTCGTACTGCATAGATTAATAATTTTAATTTATGGTAATCGCGGTTAACTATGACATCTCGACGTTTTACATCTCAGTCTCTCCCGTGACCATGGGTGCTGTAAAGTGCTCGAAACGTCGGGTATTTAAAAAGTTAAATATACGCCAAAAAATGCGTAAGATATTTTTATTTTACTGTGTATTGTTCGCGTAAATTTTAGAAATCATTACGTGTCGTTACTTGTTTCACTAGTATTTATTAACTATAAAACCGATGACTGGTTCCGCTTAACGAGATCGTTAGGGATATAAATAATAAAAAGCACGGAAATAAATAGCACCTAGAATAGGACAGGAGTATTACTATGCTATTAAATATTTTTATGTAATTATATAATTGATTTACAGTAAAGAAATGGCCCGATTCTACAACTTTACTACTGCGTTGTTACCGCAGAGCTGTTATTCTGTCGGCGTCGGTTTTCTGAAAGCAATTTCCTGGCATCCATACTTCTTAATAACATACACTATATTCGGCCTAATGTTAAAGTGGCCACTGCAGTATATTGGCATATGTTGCATTTTAACCCAAGAAGGTCATAGGTGGGTACCTAACTTACCTTTACTATATCTTCGAGGACTGAGATGATATTACGCAGACGGTAATTTTACTCTCTATACCTTAACACTGGAACATAACAATAGTTGCTGCATAATTGAACTGCTGTTTTAAGCAGGCATTTAAGTATGATCACGATACAAAAACACCGAAGAGAATTTTTTCAAAATCCGAGTGAACTAACGAGTTCCGAAATAATTTAAAACAGAAGTCGTGTATTTAATATGTTGTATATGTTCATGTGGGACAAGTTACAAGAAATTATACAAAGAATATCGATTGACACTTCACAAAATAGTATTAAATATAGGAAAAAAAACAAACACTTATTACAACAATTACGAAACTAATATATAATACTGTGTTTCACCATTCAAAGTAATCTATATGTGCACAGGAGTTCACATTGCCGCAGTGTTTTCTATCTGTTAATTTAGGACAGTTGCGACCGTCTCCCCGTTTTGGACGAAGCACTCGCCGACTTCGAAATTGGTCTCCAAAACCACAAGTAACCGAACAAGGACTCCACTCGCTCCATTCTGATACTTCGCAGTCGTCCGCTGAAAACAAATAAATAATTGCGTAGAATTGAAATATTCACAGCCTTACTCGTGAAAAGTGAAGTCAATTTAACCCTTCGATCCCCATAAAAATCCGATGCATTCGCATGCGCCCACCCACAGCACTTTAAACCATTAACACTTATATTTAGAGACTACTTGTCTATGAAGAAGTTTAGCATTATAAAATCTATAGAAAATTCTTTATATAAAAGTCAGATTTTACTTCATTACAAAAGGACAGTTGTATTTTCATAACAAAAACAAAACATACCAAGCGAATAACGGCAGCGTGAAAATCACAATTATTTCAATATGTATTACTCGAACTTATTTACGTAACAAGATAAATTATATTCAAACAAAAATTTTCATTACAATTTTATAATAGAATACTATACTAAAACACTAATAAAACACTAGTAAAATCCAAAAATCAACACAATAACATTCAAGCGAAAATGGCGTACGAAATTAACGTAGATTATAAATAATTATCCATAAGATAACTTGACTTTTTATTGCACTAGAAAAAATTCAAACTTCTCATAAAAAGTAGCTTAAAAAATAATTCACTCTCTCTCTCTCCTCCTTTTCAATAAGAACAACAAAAAAGAATATATATATATATATATATATATATATATATATATATATATATACATATAAGTACAGCCTATATACGACCCACGCTGGGTACAGGCCTCCCCTCATTTCTGAGAGGGTTTTAGGGCAAGGAAGTGTCCGCCGGGCTGCCCCAATGCGTATTGGCAAACTTCTCATGTCTTAGAATTTTTTTTTCTTATTCCTCAGACATGCAGGTTTCGTCACAATGTTTTCCTTCACCGGCGAGCACGTGATGTGTGAGATGGTTAACTCTCGCTGCAAATTCTTGTTTTAGTTATTGTTATTGTTCTTGTTTTGGGTATTTGTAGTTTTGACTTCAGATTTTCTAGTCATTTCACATACCACATAGAAAACTATTTCGTTAACAACATTTAGACTAATTAGAACCGATACGAAAATACCAGAGTGTTGTGTCTACTATCCCTGAACTATAAACCATTTAAATTAAAAGATGACAGTGTTCCATTAACACCAGGCTATTTCTTAATAGGTGAACCATTGCTAACTGCTCCTGATTATAACTTCGAACATCTTTCGATAGGCAACTTACGCCGTTAGCAATTGACACAATGGATGCTCCAAACCTTTTGGAAGAGATGGTGCTCTGAATACCTCATCCATTTCTTCCAAAGGCACAAGTAGAACACCAGAACTTCAGGGTTGAAAGTAGGTGATATTGTTTTGGTACGTGAGGACAATTTTCCACCCGCTAAATGGCTTTAGGGCAAGGTAGAGGATGTTCGTCCTGGTAGGGACAATTTAATAGCCATATTAGATTTATCTTGCAAATTGTGGAGGCTAGATAACAATAGCACTGGATACACTGGTGATTGTTAAAAATTAATTAAAACTAATGTTAGGAGCTATAAAACGCGTTCTTATTTTTTTAAACACTTAACACTGATACAGGTCCAGAAATTTAGATAGATATAAAAATTGATATTACTAATATAAAAAGGGCTACCAACGTTGAATCCTATTGACAGCATGGTGCAGTCTTGATCTGAAATGTCTTGGAAGTCGTTTTCCTAGCCCAAAACGTTGACCATTTGCGACTGCAAGTACGACGTCATCCATACTTTTCAGTTCACTGTCAAACTCATTGTCTATTGGACTTATCGTTCTGGAAAAATTGTCATGAATAAATTTGGAATGTTAATTACGAAGGAATTTTAATCTTGTAAATTTATGAAAAAAATGAATAAGATAATCCGAAAAATACGCATGTTCATTTATATTTTTATAAAAAACAAACAAAAATGTATGTTAGACGTTTTTAGGATATTATTTAAGTTTTTTAATTTACTTTAGTGTCTGCCTAGTTGGTCTAGTGGTAGTAAGAGTGACTGTTGATCATGTGGTATCAAGTTTCAATCTCTGGTCAGACCTAATTCCGTTATTGGATTTTGCTTTCAAGAAATTCTCAGTAGCAGACCGGAGTCAGAAAGTTAACGGTGCATCACCGCCGTGTCTCGGACTCTGGCCTCTCTGATCGTATCGGATTGCTGTCCCATCGGATTATGTGTGTGAGGGAATATTATGCTTTCATGCACTATTAATCTGTCCGTGCAAATGGCTTGTCTCTGTAAAGACTGGCCGCTGTGGTGAAAAATTCAGTCTATTTTAACTACTTTACGGAATACTACTTTTTTTTTTTGGAAATATATTTTCAGCAGTTGACCGTTTACGGGCTGATGGTGAATAATTTGAAAAATCTAATAATTATAATTAGTGTTTGTTAAATATCTACATCGTCTCTGTATACTCTTCTATTTAAGAAGCTTTACGTTAAAATATCTAAAATATGTTTCATTAAAAACTAATTAAAAAGCGAATTTCTGGTTGCTTAATAAATATTTCTTACGTCATTGGTGAGTTCGTTATAACTTCAACTTTGTTCTCGAGTAAATTCGGTCGTGGAGTGCCGAACGGTTCCTCTTCTAAGTCTTTTAATTGTTCATAATAGCTTTTTGTAGTCACTTCTTGAATTTTTTTAAAGGGTTGATGGTTATATACAATTTTCTCTCTAGGTAAACCTTTCACGTTGTCTTTGCTATGGAGTTTGGTCAACAGTTCCTTTCGCGCTAAATCATTTACCTCTTTGGATGAATATTCTTTCACCTGTGAATTTCAAATTAAATTAAAGAAAATGATTAATTTTTTATTCAGGATTTAATATTTTACTACTCACGTGACTACAATTGTACAATGTAATTTATACTCATAAATGGAAAAATCTAAACTCGTAAGTTTGTTGTCTTTAAAAATTTATCTTTTGTAAACGACACAATATATTTCACAATATATTATAAGATGCTGCCACACATTCAAAGTTAAGTAATTAAATATTATTAATCAAAATGTTCAAATATTAAGAGAAACCTCACAAACGGATAGCAAGGATAGTACAGACCGCTGAGTCAGATAGTGCATCATTATTAAAGTAACAAAATTTGTAGCCATTGCAACGTAGGTATTCTCGACTTGTGGTAGCAAGTCACGTTGAATATCTTGTGCATTTACCACTAGCAAACAATATAAAATATTCTTTTTAATAAATAAAATCCTAACTTATCGTATATAGCTTCGCTACCATATTCTTATTATCAGACTTAAAATATTTTTATTTTATTAGTATTAAAACACTTTAGTACCTTTATAAATTGAACTTTCGCTATTGGAGGTAGTTCCCTTTTGTTTGGATAATAAAAGCCAGCAGCAGGGTGATTTGGTTGCTGTGGTCTGTGCTTAGATACAGCCTCAGGTGGTGAGTTTTCCCATCGAGGAGCAGTGAAAGTAAGACCGCTAGCTGCACCGGCGTCTAAGGGTTCTAACTAGAAGTATATAATTAATAGGCACATCATTTCTATTAGAATTATAGTAAAAATATTTGCCTATTCGACTTTGGTATAAATAATTTATAAACTTAATTATTCGAAATAATAGTAAATTAAACAATGATTTGTAGTTAAGCTGGTTATGTTTCATTTATTTGAAAATAAAAACAAAAAAAATGATATTTTCCGAATAAAAACACAAAAATTATGCTTTAAAAAATATCTTTAGTTTTTAAAACCGTCTCTGCAGAGAGTTAAATTGTCTCCATCACTTTATGAGTATATAATATTCACAAAAATAAACAAGTGAAATAATATAACAAATTTACTTACATTGATTTTAGCGAATAAGTATAATAATAATATGTAATAATGTGTGTATATAAGTATGTAATAATCAATTTTTTTACTTACATCAAGCACAACTTGATCCACCCATGAAGAGTCCACGCACAGATCAAGACTATCGACACCGATGAACCAATCTGGTGATGGTATTAAGCGACAAATGATGGATACCTATAAATATTAAACCAAATAATTACTTTTAAAATATACTTACTAAAAAGAAACCAACGAGCAACCAGTCCATCCAATAGTAGTTTGATTTTTTGACAACCGAACTTAAAGCCCATAGACACTTGCAACTTATTCTAAATAAATAAGGCTACAGATGCGTTGTCACTTTTAAGGACTAACATGAAATGCCTTAAAGCTTGTAATTATGCTGGCTCTCTAGGCACTCCAGATCGGAATTCAGCGTACATTGCTGAAATTGGTACAGAGGGTGGTTCCTATCAGATGGACTAGTGAGCAAAAAAGGAGTCCTACCAGACAGTTCTACACTCGGCTAAATAGCTGTACTTTCATTGCTAAATGCTTTGCACTATTTGCCTCCGAAAACTCAGACGGACCGCCTTAAAGATTTTAATTATACAGGCTATCCATACTCTTCAGAGAGAAAAAGTTAATTAGGTGCTAATGTCCTCCAGACCGATTTTCGGTCACGGCAGCCTGCCTCAACGGAGACTAGCCATCGGCGCAGGACACGATTATAGTGCCCAAGGGTATGCGCGAGCACAGGTGCACTCTCTATTCCCTCACTCTCAAAATCCGAGGGGACGGTAAACCGACACGACCGGAGAGGGATCAGGCGTAAGGCCAACAGCTTTAGGTGCTTTTCGAAGCACGGGGGTAAGACATGGCCAACTTCCTGACTCCGGGCAGCTACGGAGAATTTCTTGATTGAGATTTTTGACCCGAGCCGGGATTCAAACCTAGCCCCTCATGATCAGTAGTTGCACCACTACAACCACTAGATCAACGAGGCAATTAGGTGACGCCCAGCTAAAGGAATTACAAGGAAATAAAAGTCCTGTAAGCGCCTTACTGCTAGACACAAGCATTGTCTCGGTTTACGGATTAGGATAAAAATAAATTCGCTATGCTACTACTACTACAATGCGGTTAGCCGTGCAGTTTTATTAATTTTTTAACACATTTTACCGCTAGGTAAATGGTAAATGGCCACATGAAATTGCAACGAATAGTTCCAGTAGCGAATAAATGGTTCGCAATTTGGTTGCTCTTGCAATGAGAAATATTTTTAAAAAAATAACTAAAAAAAACATTATATTAACTATGTCCATGATGTTACAAAATTTTTGAACTGTGTTACATCGAGACGTTTAAACTAACGTGTGTCATCATATGACTTATTTCACAGAGGTTTGGTATTTAAAACTAGTTCAAAATATTTAATGCCTATTTACTGTTAGTAGAATGGAAATAATGCAAATATTTTTAAGCAAAGAAGAATAGTGTATACTTTTATTTGTAATACCTCGGTATGTTCATTGTTTACAAATACCAAATTTTCCGTCTCTCCTGTACCGCTTCCCACGGGAGGAGCAGAAAATTGATCGTACACCCTTGGATCTTCTTCGCCTTCCAAAATTAAGGTATCTAATTTTCCATATTGCGCGAAATTCCGGACTGAGGATCTTGCAACTTCTCCGATACGAAATAATGTGTATGATTTGTTATGTGATTGGCCTAAAAATAAAATATTTCAATGTTACAAAACGAAAGTTCTATTACACACAATTTTAGGGGTTTATATTTGATGTGCTATCTTTGAGCAAGCCTTTTAAACGTGGTAGGGTCACGTTACAGCTATATTATGGTTTAAGAACGAATGGGTCGGGTCCACTGGGGTAGGACCACGCTCCGGAACATGAGCATAAAATAGCAGCTTAATGTTGTTGGTGTGTTTCGTATGGTGAGTGAAAAGAACTGGAGACCTTTTTCACTGGAAATAAGGCATTCCAAGGGTGACAAATTGAGGATAAATATAAAGGTCTCTGGGCCACAGCATCCACTTACTATCAGATGGACTATGTGTTCACATCTTGCATTAAATTTTATCACCCTTATTCTAATTAAAAAAAACAGCCCGTGAGTATCGTAAGAGATAACATGAGATATAAGAAAGACCTCACGTTAAAAAGTGAATCACTTGGACAGTTTATCACAAGTCAAGTTTGTTTTTTAATTTACTCTTAAGAGAAACCCACCAAATTCACATTACTTGATTCACTTAGGGCCGAATTAAAAAAACCCTTAAAAATACAAGGAGCACGTTTCGCCCCTTGTGTGTGGCTTGCGCCCTCCTCTCGCCCGAGGGGCGCGTCCCCGCGACCTCTCACACAAACACAAAGATGGGGGGGGTACCCCACCACCCCCGGCGCCTCCCCTCCCCCTCCCCCTCTGTAACTCATCAATGGGTGCATTTCTGGAAGATAGGACAAACCAAGATGTACAAGGAGTCAGAATAGAAGCCCTACCTTACATTATTACAAAGTTTTTTTTTTTGAATAAACATTTTGTTGCACAATTTTACTAATAAGATTAAACATTTCATTTTCTAAATCCCTGAAATAATATACTGAGATACCTGGGTTTGACCGGTCTTCTCCCAATATTTAAATTTCTATTTTTTAGTATCACGCCACATAAATCATAATCATAAATGCATTTAGGGATTTTATAATGCATTTTCTTTATTATACCAGAATGCCTGGACAAATATTACTTGATCCTCTACCGTAGTAGGGAAGTATTTAAGTAGGAAGATTTGTGATAATTGTAACAGACATCTTTCATCCTTGATGTTGTTCACTGCTGCCAATTTGGGTAAAATAATAAAATACACATGAGTGTGTGTGCGTGTGCGCTGTGCGCGCGTGTGTGTCGTGTGTGTGTCTTTATGCTTGTGATCATAGCTCATAATTGGATGACAATTGTATATTTATGGTTTAGGCATACTCATGTATAAATATTTTATATTTGAATTGCGAATTTCTCTGCAAGCTATAATCCCCTTTATCGAAGCATTATGCAGATCATTAGTTTCAAATTCACTTAAACGTGACATATAAATCGTTTTCTTTTTTCACGTTATTTCTGTGTACTTTTTAATATTATAATTTTTTAATTTCTTCGTAATGTTTTTATTAAGAGTAAACATATCTGTAATGTTGGGGTTCCTTATCACAATGACAGTGTAATTCTATAGGAGACTAACCACATTAGTTACGTAGTATATTCAGAACGCCGAAATAATCTAAAATACTGCATATAAGCTACAGCATGCAACTCAGCATACATAAAACGTTATAAAGTAGCTGTACTCACTTATGCTAAACGTAAGCAGGAAGCATATCATATTAGACTTCATTTCACTCCCGACGACATAGAAAAAAAAACGGTGAATTAGGTACATTTTTTTACGCTTTACATAATTTATACTAGATAATGATGAAGTATCATCTTTTAAATCATAATAGTTTAATAGACATGAGTTATTATACAGTAAAATGGTACATACGTTTATCTTTATCATTATACATTGCAATGTTATCTAAAATTAAATCTTACATTCAAATCTATTGACAAAAAGGCCTAGTCCTATTCTTATGTACTAATTCAATTTTATTATTTTTAATTATTTTTTACGTTACAACCTAAATCTTCCATAACTGTATAGGGACCTTTAAATATTGCATCTAATTTACTACGTGCTTCATTTTTTACCAAAACCAAATCATTTTTCTCATATTTTGCAGAATTGACAGACTTATCATATATTTCTTTCCGTTTATGCTTATTAATCAGCAAATTTTTCTTTGCATCTTCATGAGCTAATTGTAACCTGTATTTTAATTGTAATGGATAATTATCTATATTATACAATGGTTCTACGGTATTACCTATGCTATCGGGTATTTGACAAGGTTTTCCAAAAACAAGTTCATATGGCGTGTAATTTGTTTCTGAATGGACTGTGTTGTTAAAACTGAAGCACCAAAATGGTAACCAATAGCTCCATGTATCCGTATGATTGTCACACTGGATCCTTAAAAATGCACCCAAAGTTTTGTGAGCATTTTCAAGAGCTCCAATCGACTGATGGTGATAGGCTGTAGAAGATAATTTTTCTATATTAAGTATTTTACAAACCTGTTCCATGGTTGCAGAAATAAATTCTGTTCCTCGATCTGTAGCTATTGTCGTCGGAATACCAAATCTTAATATGAACTGTCTAACAAATGCATCTGCAATGGACACTGTTTCTTTGTTTTGCAAAGGAATAGCTTGTACAAATTTTGTTAACTCGCATTGCATAGTCAATATATAACAATTACCATTTTCGTCTCTATCTAAGGGTCCCACTACATCTAAGTATATCTTTTCAAAAGCCGAGGAAGCTGTTGTGGTAATTTCCATCGGTTCTTTTGTGTTACGAAAATATTTATGTTTCTGACATTTTGTACACTTTTTAACAAATTCCTGGACATACAATCAAAAGTCGATACTTGGCCAATAGTATCGACTTTTGATTGTATTTATCATTCTGCGCACTCCAGCATGACCGCTGGATGGCAGTAAATGAAAGTCATTCATAATAAGTGTCTTTTCGTTGTCGTCATCTATTCTTTTTACGCCTCGTAATATGCATATTCGCGGTCCGGACCAATTACTAAGTGTTGTTATTTCATCACAAACACTTTTGATAAATTCTATATTATCATTATTTTTAATTATACACACTTCAGTGATACGTATCTTTTCACAAAAATTGCTTAATTTCTGCACAAATTCGGCTCGCGAGAAATGCACCTTGAAATCAAGATTAATGTATAGTGTCTTTTTACCCTCTATAAATGTAAAACATTCAAATTCTTCAGTTATCAAGGCATTATCTCTAATTTGTTTTAATTTGTTGCCTTCAATCAAACACATTTCTACTGAATCACACGGTTTTCTTAATATATCCACAACTCTTGGTTGATCAGGCCAATTGTTAATGGATTTATTAAGATCCTTCTTTTTCATCGTCATTCTTACTCTTACTTAACTCATTCAGCTTTTTCTTTTGCGCTCTGGTCATTACAGCCATTACTTGTTCATTCATACTTTTAAGTTCATCAGACGTTATACAAACTCTCGATAAAGCATCTGCCACAACATTGTCCCTTCCTTTCACATATACTATTTTAAACTTATATTCTTATAAAGTTAATCGAAATTTAAGTAATCTACTTGACGGATCTTTCATACCAAAAAGATATATTAATGGTTTTTGATCTGTCATTATGGTGAATTTGTTTCCATACAAGTATGGTCTGAAATACTTAACAGACCACACTATTGCCAAAAGTTCTTTTTGAATAGTTGGGTAGTTTCTTTCTGCTTTATTCAAGGGTCTACTGGCATATGCAACTGGTCTGAGATCTTTATTACATAATACAGAACCAATAGCAGTACCCGAGGCGTCTGTTTGTAAAATAAATTCATGATTTTCGGAAAAATCGGGATCCTGTAAAATTGGTGATGATATTAAAGCATTTCTTAAAAATTCAAAAGCGTTTTGACATTCATCAGACCAAATAAATGGTTCATTTTTCCTACTTAACTTATTCAAAGGTATTGCTATATCCGAAAAATTTCTTATAAATTTACGATAATAGTTGCAGAATGCTACAAACCGTTTTACTTCATCTGCATTTTTGGGAGTAGGATAATTTCGTAATACTTTTGTTTTTTCTGGATCTGGTAAAACACCTTTTTCTGTAACCAAATGTCCTAAATAAAGAATTTCTTTCTTTAAAAATTCACATTTCTGAGGATTTAGTTTTAAATTTACTTTTCTCAATCTCTCCATGACAGTTATTAAATTTTTGTTATGGGAAGACAGATTTCTTCCAAATACAATGAGATCGTCCTGATATACTAAACATTTATCGTAAGTTAAACCAGACATCGCTACGGACATTATACGACTAAAGGCATTAGGGCTGATCTTTAAACCCATTGGTAAACGCTTCATGCAATATTGACCAGTATTTGTAGTGAAAGCTGTTAATTTACGACTACTAGGCTCTAAACTTACTTGATAGTAACCTTGGTGAAGGTCAAGATGAGTAAAATAAATGGCTCCAGTAAGCGTATCTAAAATTTCATTAATATTTGGTAGAGGAAATTTGTCGTCACAAATAACCTCGTTCAGTTTTCTGTAATCTACAACTAAACGCCATTTTTTCTCATTACCTTTGCTACTTTTCTTAGGTACTAATAATATTGGACTGGACCATTCACTATTTGACTCTTCGATTATATCATTTTCTAACATATTCTCAACTTGCTTAGTTATTTCTGGTTTTAGTGCCTGTGGTAACCTATAAGGCTTGACGTAAACTGGAGTGGAGTTTTGTTTTAAAACAATAGATGGCTCATAAATATTAGTTGTCGTTAACTTATCTCCTTTCAAATGAAAAATGTCAGAATATTTTGCACAAATTGCTTCAATTGATTGTTTCTCTTCTCCGTCTAAATAATTTAAATTTAATTCAGATAGCAAAGTTTTAACCCTGGTAACGTCAATATTGGTCTTATTAAATTGACAAATATTATAATTATACAAACTTTTCAAAACTGGTGTGAAAGATGACAAGTTTACGTCCTTGTCACTAACATTAAGTATTTTAACTGGA